TATATATATATATATATATGTGTGTGTGCATCACCAATCACAAGATGCAAGATCTCCCGCAGAAAACAATAAAAATCAAATGGAGTTGAAGATCTTTCTTTATTATATTTTCAATAAGATGTATAAAAACATATAACATTATGTTCTGTCTTTATATATCTGCAGTCGATATTCAAATATCACGAACAAGACCTTTTTTTATAGAATCAATATAAAATTTAATGTTTGTCGGTACACAAAAATACCTGAAGATATTAGCCCATTCAGAATATCAACAAAACATGTTTTATCTATGAAATATTTATTGTCTAAAACCTAAGATTTCGGATTTTATATATAGCCATTAGATATATTTTTAGAACATCAAGAAATCCGATCACAAAAATACCTATGTCCACCTTCCACGTAGATACGATTTCGAACCCCAGACATAGTCAATTCATCATATATAAACCAGCATGGATCAAGTAAGAAAAATAGTTACTTCGGTATCTAAAAATACACCTCCATAGTGTATCCTGAAGAAAAATGAAAAAGGCATCGATATGTGCTCAAAGCAAAGAGACTGGATAAAAATAAAACATCATATACGTGGAATTTAAACAAAGCCAGCCAGCCAGAAACACGACACGGGAAAATCCGTAGCACACACGGATATGTGATCTATTTACGGTAGATTTGATGAGAGTCGTCATGCAGATTTTCTGCTGGCGACGTGCAGGTGCATGTGGGGCGTATTAAAGAAATGAGGTTTTCACGATTTTTCACTAGCCGAGTGCAAACTGGAAAATCTGCATAGTCGAGCGGGATATGATGGTGCTGCGACAAGGTTCTGAAATTTTGCTTTTTTTGGCACTTGAGACGTTTTTACCAAAACAAAACTCAATACACTTTAAATTTGATGATGAACCAGTGGTGCATGGCATTGTGCCTTAAAATAAATTTTGCTCGGTTATCTGAAAAACTGAATTATCATATTTGGCACCTTTCTCAGCGTTTTTCTCGAAACAGCTGGACCTGACTATGCTAAAAACTAATCAGCACGTCTCTCCATCAATACGATTCAAATGTTTTTTAAATTATTCAAATCGATTGATGCGTTTTCCCGAAATCGTTGACGTTTTTTAAATAAATTTATATCCACACATACATAATGTCTTCACAGATAAGCATTACATTTTTATTGAGTCTCCAGAAAAAAGCGTTACACGTGATATTTCAATATCGACTGTAGATATTTGCTGAATAATCACAATTTTACACAATCTATTTTACCAGTGTTTAATGATATAAAAAAATACAACATGAGTTTGTCTGATGTCAAAATGTTCTGAAGCTATATATTTCCAATTCCTTTCACACTTAAAGGTCTTGACCAAAAATTAATATCACCATGAAACACCATAACTGACTGATTATTAATTATAAATTGATTATTAATATAATAATTAATTAATATATTTATTAAATATAAATTACAACTGATGATTAATTATAAATTAATTATGATTTTTTGAGAAGATGTGATCAGAGAGCGACAATTGCATAATAATAGTGTCCTAAACCTTAATTTTTATTATGATCATTATAAATATTTTAAGATGTAGAATTTTTTAGTAGCAATTCGAGTCTTATATAACCTATATCAGTTCAGCCGTTCTTTCAAAAACATAAAAAATATGAGCAGATGAATTTGCTACAAAATATAATCAAAAATATAGGTAAATAATATTTGCAGAAAGTCATCTTTTTTTTAATTTCAAGATTTTTTATAGAAGATATATTGCATTGACTATTCAGTGTACGTATATTGGCAATTCGATTCAGTTTTCTAATATATGTAGTTGGATTTCATTATTATGTTTAATGGACCAGCAGCAGTATTCAAAACAAATGAAACGCAAATATTTCTGCTAAAGAAACACGATAAAAAACTGTTTTTAATTTTAACAATAGCAATAACAGAAAAATAAATTTCCGAGCTCATTTAAACTGCATTCTATCTAATCCTCATTATCACTATCACTATAGTGATTACAACAACTTAATTGAGTCAATTTTATTTTCGTTTTATCTCGTTGAGTTTTCCATTTGCCCAGTCTGAATTTTCGCGTTACAAACCGCATGCTTCCATAATCCCACTCCAAAGCTAAAAGCAAAAGCAGAAGCTAATGCAAAAGCTCGGCGCGTCGCAAAGTCCGAAAGCGCCCATCCGCTTTTCCGCAGAATGCGATGTTGGTATTTTGCAATTTTTTGCTCTTCCCAGTACGGTTTCCCGGATTCTTGCACGTTCCGTATTACTGTCGAAGTTTTTCACAAGATTTTCTGTGACCTAGACTGTCCTGAAGATGTTGCTAAGAGCCATGCCTCCGAATAGTTAATAAAACTATAGATACTGGACATGATATTTCAATCAGAGGAAAAAATAATATACTATTTGATTAGGAATTAGAATATTAATAGACTAATTCGTCCTAAGTTATTACCGCTTTTGCCCTATATAAGACATATTTTACCATTTTAATCCTAAATGTATTTGTAAATTTCTTTATACCTTTGGATAAAATTACTATAAGTACATTTGTTGCGAGACAACGTTATAGATAGCGCAAAGTATTTTTTCAATAATAAAAATAAAGTAAGTAATAAAATATGGTGCATTTTCTAATGTATGCATCTTGCTATAAATCCAATTGAAGTACATGTGACTCCAGAAACTCTTTGTTGTGACAATATAGATTACAAAAATGTATTGATGTTTGTGATCCACCGAGATACTGCCGAACTCTATTAAATTATTACATTTTGTTTAAATTTTTCGAAGGACCTGATATACTTGGATAATGGCTATATCAGACCGATTAAAAGATAAGTAGTCTTTCGTTAAATGAATAGTTTTCTCATAGATTCAATTATTCTTAATTGTTATATGAATCTCTAATTTCTAATATAAGTGAAGTACCTCATGACTTGATTGTGATTGTTTAAAATATTTCTGCATTCAATATATTATATATTATTTAAATTTAAAGCATTGATAAATATGCCAATATTTATGCTTGAAATATAGTCAGCAATTTTAGGAAATTAAATTTCCTCGGATAATAGACATCTATTTTTATTTTATTTATAAGAAATATATTATAAAAATGTGACAACTGACATCCAGTGCTTCATTCCAAATATTTGAATGAATAATATATGTATTTGTTAGTCCAAGAATTTCAAAACCATTGTTGATGATTTAGAATTTACGTCAAAACGTATGGAAAAATATAGATGTTTTATATATATATATATATATATATATATATATATATATATTTATACATCTTTCTGCTTGCTTAATATAATGATATATATAAATTGCATCGAAATGTTCCTAAAAATGAAGTTATCAAGAAACTTCCAATATAGACCGATTGAAAATAGATTCTTCTAGATATTCCATTAGTTTGTTGCGGAAAACTATGAATAAATAAATTCGAAATATAATTTTGCATTGGTCTAGTATCTAAGAATATCTTGTTTCAAATATGTATAGTTATTTATTTGTATTTCTACCGAAGCGCAGAATATTTCTGTTATGTTTTATTCATGTAATTTTATGTAAGAATTACGCTTTGCATTTAAATTGCCGAGCTTTGCTCGTATAATTATAATTAAAATAAAGGATATTTTATTCCCATGGATATTGTAGATTATTGCAAGAACAAGAATTTACTTTTATTTTGAATGTAGTTTTCAAATTTGAAATAATAAAATGTATAAGAATATACATAGATATAAATTGAAATGAGCAAATACATTATTTATATGTGCTACATGAGCTATTTACTAAAAAAATATTACACTATTGTTATAATATTGACGGCTTTGACAATATTGTTATAATATTAATTTTTGAAATTATACTGGCAAACATAAACAAAGAAGTTAGCCTGCTACTAGACCATCAGTTTGTTTTCAGAAAAGGACTTTTAACTATACGATAAAGTCATAGATTAGTGAATTCATTACTATTGTCAAGAATTCAAAAACTTTCTTAAAATATTAAAATATTACTTCCATCATATTATAAGTTTTTTAAATTCTATTTCAACAATAGAATATTGCAAATCAAAAATGGTATTGATTATACAGAACCTGAAATTATGAAAGCTGGGGTTCCACAAGGAAGCGTGATGAGATCTTCTAAAAAATATTAATTAAGTAAATTTAAATATGCATCATAAATATTAACATTATTAAATTGTTCGACGACATGTACTCTAAATTCGAGGACATGCACTTCAAATATAAAAATATAGCATCTGCTTAAAAAGCGTACACAAATTAAACAAATTGGCTAATGAAGTTATGCTATCATATGAATATTATTCACTTTTTTTAGAGATAAATATATAAGTATGCTTTATGTTTAGAATATTAACAAACATTATACAGAGCCTAAAATTATGAAGACTGGGGTTCGCAGGGGAATGTGTTGGGACCATTTCCGTATTAAGTAAATTATAATATATATTATGATAAGTAATATTATCAAGTTGTTGGGACATGTACTTTGAATATAAAAATATTGCATTTGTTAAAAAAACGTATGCAAATTAAATAAACGAGCTAATGTAATGATGATATTATATGAATATTTTTTAAGTTTGAGAGGTGGAAATATAAATATGCCCTCTTATTCAGGATATTTACAAACAACTTTACAATTTTTCGGTATAGTGTTTTCTTTTTGAATCGTAAAATCGTCCAATCGAGTAATTTTTACAACAAACGTTTCCAAAGGTCGTTATCGAACAAAAAATCATATTTTTTTCTATCCAACTCACAAAGCTGTTGGATTTAGCTTTTTAAAACGGCTAAAGAATCCATCTTTTCTTCAGTCCGTCGATAGCGCGTTTTCATTTCTGTTCGATAACTGCTGTGAGCTTTCGAGGGAGATTAATGAAGTATTTTGCCTTCCTGGTTCAGCTTATGGCGAAACGTTATTAATGGTGTTTATACAATTGCGACAGGGCGGTAATTAATATATTTTTCTTTATTTTTCTCTTTTTTATTTCATTTCAATTTCGCTTTGCTTTTTCAGATCCCGTGCAAATAGTCCAGGGGGTGCTGAATGGAAGCGCGCAACTGCCCTGCGACACACAGACGTCCCTCGCGAACGACACCGCCCTGTTGGTGGTGTGGTACAAGAATGATTTACCGATTTACAGGTAAAGGAAATAATTTGTAATAATTATATATATATATATATATTATATATATATAACTAAGGGACCGATTCTTCCGCATAACAGACCAATGTAATGGCAAGGCTATGTTATAAAGAACTTTCCATACAAATTTGTTCTTAATATTGACAAAAGCCATGCGGTTGCTGTGCAGTCAGGCGAATTTCTCAGGCTGTCAGAAAACATAGCCTAGAAACTGTATAAATGTCAAAAATCGATATTAAACAACAGGGTGTTTTTGACCCAGCTTTATAACATACGAGTGACGTTGCAGTTTATGTGTAAAACGCCTGAAAGCACAGCAAATACATGACATTTTCACAGTATTCAGTATGATTCAGTAGCATTCAGTATATATGGAAGTTGGAGCATAACATGGCCTTGCCATAACATTTGTATGTCATGCGGCAAATTCGTTCCCTAAATATGGTAAGTTTTTATTGGGTGTGATCTTTCTGACTCAGAAGACTTATTGACGTCCAACGTACTATTAAACTATTTATTAAATTATAGCAGTGATGCACAACAATATATACTAGCTAGGGCTGGCATTTTAGCCTAAAAAATATTTTTAAGAAAAATTTAGTATAAAACATAACTGATTCCGAATGCAGAAGTATGTTATATAAAAAAGAAAAAAAATGTTCCTGGTACATATTAATAGTCATTGAAAGTGCCAACCTAATCTAAATCTGATTGCATTTAAAACTGGCACATTTTGATATTAAAGATTTTGATCTATTATTACTGCGCTTTTTATTGATCCATTAATTTTTAAAATGACGAAGCAAAAGAAAAAAATTATTTTTGAATTATGTTGCGTCATGTTCTATGACATTTTGAGCAAATCGAGTGATATTTCGAAAACTTTACAGCTTTGCAATAGATTTGTATGGTACCTAGATCATACTCGAACTGTTTTTATCTTCAGATTTTGATATTTAATTCTACTTTTTTCTGATAAAATTTCTCTTTCTGCAATCTATTCATGAACTATTTACTGCTTATGCATATCGGGAAATATTTGTACAATAGTCTACAATAATCGTGCAAATTAATGATTACGCAAAAATCAATCGATAATTGGATGCATCTAGTTTTATAGTGGGTTGATAGGGTAGATAAACTTAATTATCTTTTATAATAAACTATTATATTTATATGATGATAAACTATTATAATATATTTATTATCTTTTCTTTTCACTCAGAAAAATTTTCATCTACATTCAATGAAAAAACGTTCACAAAAAAACGATAAATTGATCAGTTATCGAGCTGTATAATAAATTATTGAGCTATTAAAATGCCTTATGAAATATACCATAAAATAGATATTTATGGTAGCAAAGTAAAAAATTAGAATTGTATGTATTTTTTAATTCTGCGTTAAAAAAATTAAATAAAGAAAAATGGTTCCCAAAATCCAAAAAAAAATTTGGGGTTACAAATAAATTGTTTTTTGAAGTGAGAATAAAGTTTTTTCATGTACTCAAAAAAATCTGAACTAAAACTATGTCAAAAAAATATATATTGAATATGAGATGAAAATTATTTGATTACTAAAATGACCCTTATGAAATAGGAGTTTGTGGTATAGCAGTGAAAATTTAGGATTGTCTGTGTTCTTTAGTCACAAATTAAATAATAAAAAAAAGATAAAAACAAATAGTCCAAAAAATATAACAATAAAAACAAATGGTCTAAAAAAATATAACAAAAATCTTAAGGATTGCCAACGCTTGCTTCTTCAGACGGCCAACCTTTGCTGCTTAAGGGCGGCCAACCCTTGCTTCTTAAGGGAGGCCAACCCTTACGACTTAATGGTGGTTATCCTTTACTACTTATAGACATGGAAAATAGATGTTGTCTTATTTTCTGTCATAAAATATAATATAACCCCTATTCTCTCAGTCGTAAAATGAAACCTTCTAAAATTAATGAATATAGCAATTTTATCGTTATAAAATTTTGGGTAGCAGATTTTGTCATAAAATACACTAGGAACTAAAATAAATGAATTTGAGAAAACGTAGAAATAATTCACACCTACTAATCTATTCATTACTTTTATTATTCAAAATTTCTGGAACTGTCTTATCGATCAATTTACCACACATCAGTAGTAACAATATTATAATTTGTGTCAACTATCCCCCTGTTTCAGCTGCCAATTGACCCGTGCATTATTGACAGGTAACCGTTCAAGACACACATCGTCTATTCCGCAAAGGCTTTAGGCATGCGCCTAACGTATTTAACGGTGTTTACCTATAATCAACCTAGGCCGAAACTGCTGCCTCCGATATGTACCCAACTGCCTACAATGTACCTTCGTGTATTGGCGAATGTTTGAACAAGCAATTTGGACAATTTTCCACCCCTGGCATCTGCATTGATGAATAACTGACATTGTTGCGTTTCACGCCCGGTTTAATTAGCTATAACCGCATCCTGGATGAATATTCTTGATAGATTAGGAGCTGGGGATCATTAAACTTGAATCATACTTGTAATACTAATTCCCAAAAACAAAAAAAATAATTTTCAAAAGGCTAAATCAAAATCAGGTTTTTGTTAGTTTTTATGCCTTACTAGTTCTTCAATAACTAGTTGATCTAAAGTAGTTGTGCTCTATAAGCTATTGTATGGTTGTTGTGAAGAATGTTTATTCTATATTTTTATTTTAATAAGTTTCATTAGGAGTCTAATTAGGGATTGTCTTTACTTATTGTGATTGTCTTTACTTATTGTGATTATTTATTTTATTTCTGAATATTACAAGAAACCAACTTAATAGTCGTCCTTCCTAATTGACATATTGAAAAAATGCCTAATCTATCTCCAAAAGTTTCAAATCATAATTTAGATCTATACATTGAAGTGAAAGGTGGTATCATTACAACTTGATATAAAGGTTTTTAAGCAGGAATAGTATCTAGACCAAAACAAAGACCTAAACTCTTACTACTTTTATACAAAAATTGATCTTAATCTTATTAATAAATTCACACTTCAATAAATTCAAGAACAAATGCGTCTATTTATTATCAATAATTATCGTTTAAATTTCACATCGTGTAATATATTTATATAATATGATTTCAAAACATCAAATATTATCACTAATCAAATATAAATGCTAATATAATCTTATGGGAAAAACATTATAAATCCATCTAGGGTTTTGGTATGAATACAAACCATTTTTTTAATTCAATATCAAATTTTAAAACTTTGATTGAATGCCTTTCTCTAGGAAGATTGTAATTATATGGAAACAATTAAGTACTAAATTAATTGAAATTGACCTAATCATGACTACTGAATCATGACTTAATCATGACTATTTCCAAAAACGCCACAAATTTTATCACTATATAAATTGCAAAAGCCTTGAACCAGCTATTACATTAATATGGATATATAATTTTAGATATATTGGGTTGATATTAAGGCAACACTATCCCCATTATAATATAATTCAAATTAAGTCGCTTATTGGAGTTTAATCTAGTCAAGATTATGTTTGACAATCATAAAACCCAGTTTATTATATCGATTATAATTCGAATAATTGCAATAATTGTTATAGAACTTTTGTTAGTGTAAATTGATATTAATAGACGGTGCAAAAAACTTGTTGAAGTTGTTTGTATAGGTTTTAAAATTGAAGTCAGGAATATTTCTTTCTGAACGTAATTTTAAAATATGTTTATCATATTGGTATCATATTTTTTATCAACGTTATTTTATTTATTAGTTGAGCAAAAACCAATAATTTAATTTATTTAGATTTTTGTCGTTTGCACATAAAATTATTGCATCCAATACGTTCAACAATTTACATACTGTAGATACTTCTAACAAACTTTAGGATAATTTTTAGTGATTATAAAATCATTTTCTAAAAATTATATCATGAATTTATAATAATAAATTCTCTAAAATAATAAAGAAATTGAAACTGCAATTATATCATTCAAATATTATGTATGTACAAATACCTCATGATCCAGCCTTTTAAGAAACAATTTGAAATTATTAACGTCTTTTCTAAAACTTTGATATGAAGGTATCTATTTTTGCCAAAAGCAAAGAGAAATATATAAATTTATATCAAAAGTGGTATTAAAGATACGTCTTTACCTTTATCCTAAAATATCTTACATTGTGCACAACTTGATATGATTCTACAAAATGTTATTCTGGATTAACTTAATTCAATGAATCCATTAAAAACAATCATTCCAAAAATGCAGAATATAATATTGTGCTCCTACATAAAGTTTACCTTTTTGTTTACAGTGTAGAATATAATTTGATAAATCTTACAAAATGATATTGCAAGGTTGACGAGAGAAATAACTTTGCATAAAATCTGCAAATATTTGTGCTTCCTATCGACATGTGTATTTTGCATAAGTAAACATTATGGATATATGCCATATATTCGGAATTAATATACTTACATCTACCTAGTCGAAGAGCCTAGTCACAGGTAGTTATAATTGTAAAATTAATGACAATTGCGACTTATTATTTTTATGCATGTGCTGTACTGAGTTTGTTCTAAATTTCTTTATATTTTTTTGTTGATCTGTTCTTTTGTTGATGGCATCTGGATGCATCCTTATTGCTAAATTTTTATGAAAAATAGTTTGTTATCGTTTTTCCGTATTGAAATAGTTACTCCTTACAAATAATAATACTACGTCGAGAGAATGAATTTTAACCAAGCTGCTATATTTTATTTATTTTTATAATTTTGCAATTGAGTTAAATTTTATTGTAGTTGTTCTGAAGAAAAATCAGTGTTTCATGACCTGTTTTTATGAGATTCTTCAATTCCTCCACATTTAATTGTTATTAAATAAATGTCATTGGCTCTCGGACCATTAACGAATGTCACGCAGATATCGGGCGTGTTTATGTAGAAACAGTCCATATCTCCACGGGCACACATTAATATGTGCATGCATA